TTGGGTTCTGTCTGGGGCCCCAGAGCCATGTGTCCCACCCCCAGCCAGGCCCCATGGGGACGATGAGACCTTACAGTGGCCACAGTCCAGCCACTCTGGGTACAGGAAGGGAGACCTCCCTATTGACATTTCCTGCCCCATGGGCTTCCTTTGCTCATAGGTGTTCCTACTTCAAGGGCTTCCCCTCCTGTTGAGGTTTAAACCCAGCTGGTAACCACGTACCACACAGCTGCTCATTCACACCCCACTCTCCCCCTGTTTATGTACTGGGCATGGTGTTCTGTGGTACGGAATTATCCCTTTGGCCAGTTCGGGTCAGCTCTCCTGGCTATTCTCCCTTCCAGCATCATGTGCACCTGCTCACTGGAAGAGCACGGGAAAATGAAAAGTTCCTTTATCCCTCCAGAAATAGGGGTGGGTTCTTCCCTGTTTAGCTTGTTGACATTAGGGTGCACTATGCACCACTACCCACTAGAGCCCTATGCTCCTGTAGGTCTGATATTCCAGGCCATTGGAATGCTCTGCTAAACACAGTTGTCCTCTATTCCTCCTGAACAGAGGCAGGGCTCCTATAGTCCTGCTCATAGGAGTCTCCATTCACTTCTTGTAGGAATGGATTAGAATTTCTTATAAAATCACAGCATATCCTGAGTTGGACAGGATCCATCATGATCATCTAGTTCAGCTCCTGGCCCTGCACAGGACACTCTGAGTCACATCATGTGCCTGAGAGTGTTGTCCCAACATTTCTTGAACTCTGTCAGCCTTGGTGCTGTGACCTCTTCCCTGGGGAGCCTGTTCCAGTGTCCAACCACCCTCTGGGTGAAGAACCTTTTCCTAATATCCACCTAACACAGCTTCATGCCATTCTTTCCATAGGATCCTATATTCCTATCCAAGCCTATATTCCTACACAATCAGCTCTTCAACTCTGCCTGGGAAATGCCTTCTGGAGACTGGGCAGCAACTTCTCTGGAAGAACATTCATTTGTGATTGTTTTCCTTTGCAATTCCCATACCTGTGCCTCTAGGGTCAAGGTAGGTTTTCATTCCCACATCCTTGTGTTCTCTCCGTGGTCTTTGCAGGTAAAACCACTGGCTATCCTATATCCTCCCTCTTCAGTGAAAAGATGCCTGCTCTTACCAGCCAGGGAGAATGGAGGGCTTCTGAAGGTGAAAGGCCAGAAGGCAGCGTAGATGTGGATGCCCCATCCCTGGAAGTGTTCATGGCTAGGTTGGAAGGGGCTTTGAACAATCTGCTCTAGTGGAAGTTGTTCCTGCCCATGGCAGGGAGTTGGAACGAGATGACCTTTAAGGTCCCTTCCAACCCAGGGCTTTCTATGACTCTGTGAAGGAAGGGAGATGTAGGAAGATGTTACTCCCACAGTTCAGCTCTCCAAGGCCAAAGGTGCAGTAATTAACAATTCCCAACAGATGGCTCTCGAAATACAGAGGGGACGGCAGTGCTGAGTGCTCGTACCAGATTCATCCCACAAACAGAGATTCTGTTGCATTGATTATAAGATGGGCTGAGGCCCACTGTGTGAGGTTCAGCAAGGCCAAGTGCCAGGTCCTGCCCTAGGGTCACAACAAACCCCTGCAGCATTCCAGGCTGGGAGCAGAATGGCTGGAAAGCTGCTCGGTGAAAAAGGACTTGGGTGTGCTGGTCGACAGTGGCTGAACATGAGCCAGAGTGTGGCCAGGTGGCCAAGAAGGCCAATGGCACCTGGCCTGTGTCAGCAATAATGGGGGCAGCAGGACCAGGGCAGTCACTGTCCCCCACCACACCTTGAATCTTGTGTCATGTTCTGGTCCCTCAATTCAGGAAGGATATTGAGGTGCTGGAGTGTGTCCAGAAAAGAGCAACAGAGTTGGGGAATGGATTGGAGCACAGGTCCTATGAGGAGCTGCTGATGAAGCAGAGGGTGTTTAGCCTGGAGAAGAGAAGGCTCAGGGGGCACCTTATCAGTCTCTACAACCACCTGAAAGGAGATTGTAGGCAGGTGGGGGTCAGGCTCTTCTCTCAGGTAGGAAGTGACAGGGAAAATAGCCTCAAGTTGAGCCAGGGGAGGTTCAAGATGGATATTAGGAAAACTTTCTTCACAGGTGTGCTGGTTTAAAAGTTAACCAGCAGGGGAAATGAACTCAATTCAAAAGAGAGATTTATAAATCTCAGAATAACAATTTATTAAAATAATACAATAAGTACAATTATACAGACAGAGAATTGGTTTTAACCCGCAAAACCCAAAATGTAGAACCCGGCACCCTGGGGTATGAACAAAAGTGGTGTTCCTTGGCCCCCCCCCCCCCGAGTCCAAAGTAAAGGGAGAGGGGAAAAACCTGCTGGTGGGAGAGCTGTTGCAGTCTGGTCAAAAGTGGGGATTGCAGTCCAGTTGAGGGTGGTGGTCTCAGTCTGGTTGAGAGCGGTGGTCTGCAGTCTTCCTCTGGATCCCACGAGCGGTGGAAAGGTTCCGAAACTCCCAGTTTCTATATTCTCCAGTTCAGGTGGGAGTGCTCAGTCCCTCCCTCAGAGGGGGGAATTCCATCAAAGGGTATCAGAGCGGGGAATTCCATCAAAGGGTACGAGGACAAGAACATCTTCCCACCTCACAGGCCTCTATTGACAACAGTTTTTGGGAAATGGCATGGAAGGCTATAGAATACACAATTTTGGTTCATCACCCATCCAGTGATGAATTGGTCCCAGCCGTCCTAACTAGGACAACAGGAAGGGTTGTCAAGCACTGAAACAGGCTGCCCACAGCAGTGGCGGTTCCCTGGGGGAATTTAAAAGACATGAATCATAGTATCACGGAATCTTAAGGCTGGAAAAGACCTCTAAGATTGTTGAGTCCAACAGTTAACCCAGCACTGCTGTTTTCACCACAAAACCATGTCCCCTGAGCACCACACCTGCACGTTTTTTTGGACACTTCCAGAGATGGTGTAGATGTGGCACTTAGGGACATCTATCAGCCACTACTGCGAAGAACAGCCCACCCAGGCCCCACGGAGAATGAACACCAGCATGGGGAACTCACACCAAGCAAGGTGGTACATAATGTGCCTGTGAGAACACACACAGGCACTCTGAGTGCAAACCAACCAACTTCATGACTGTCATCAGCTGTTAAAGTAGTACAATAAATGCTCATAACAAATACGGTTTAACATGCTCTGCTCAGATCTGTTGTTACTCAACTCTCCAGGCCTATTTGGGCCCCAAAAACAACTGCTGTGGTTTAACCACACATGGCAACAAGGTACCACACAGCCCCTTGCTCATTTTCCCCCAGTTTATATGCTGGGAATGATGTTTCATGGCATGGAATATCCCCTTGGCCAATCTGGGTCCGCTCTCCTCCCCATGCTCCCTCCCAGTTTTTTGAGCACCTGCTCACTGGCAGAGCATGAGACACTGGAAATTCCTTGACTTAGAGTGAGCCCTGATGAGCAACAGCTGAAACATCAGTGTGTTATCAACACTGTTCTCATACTGAATCCAAAACACAGCACTGAACCAGCTACTAGGAAGAAAATTAACTCTTTTCCAGCTGAAACCACCACTTACTTACTTCATACAATTTACATCATGCCAGGTCCCCTACTTCCCAATACCCCATCACCTTTCCTGTCTTTTGATATCAGTCTTTTGATCCCTTCCCAGTACCTGAAGGGAGTCTACAAGAAGGATGGGGAGAGGTTTTTGGCAGGGGCTTGTGGTGACAGGACAAACAGTAGTGGCTTCAAACTGAAAGAGGGTGGGTTTACATTGGATGTTAGGAAGAAATTCTTTACTGTGAAGGTGGTGAGGCACTGGTACAGGTTGCCCAGAGAAGTTGTGGATGCCCCATCCCTGGCAGTGTTCAAGGCCAGGTTGGATGGGGCTCTGAGCAATCTGGTCTAGTGGAAGGTGTCCCTGCCCATGGCAGAGGAGTTGGAAAGAGATGACCTTCGAGGTCCCTTCCAGCCCAAGTCACGCTGTGACTGTGATGGTGATACACACACAGATACCATTCCATTTGTCGATGGACCACTCCTATAACAGTCCCCTGAGTTCATTCAGTCCATGACCTTGAGCTCCATCTGTCCTAACAGTCTTTCAGGGCAGGAAAGACAGTGCGTGGTGGTGTCACACGTTGAAACCAGTTTTGATTCCGTCACCAACTTTTCCATGAAAAGTTGGCTGGTTTCATCAAAGCCCATCCTCCGTTAATGTGGCAATGAAAGGAGTTCAGATCCCCAAATCCAGTGCCCAGTGATGGTGATGGGAGTACAGTGGCCATGGAAATGGCAATAGGCAGCGTTACATAGCAAGTAGCATCATAGTTTTATTCATTGGTTATTCTTGTCCAAAATCAAACCCTTTTGAGCCACACACCGGACTTGGGAGATGGGCATATGCGTTTTGGTCTCATCTCCTGTCCCTGTGTGTTGATCCTTGTGGGAGCATTGTGCAAACATTGTGCAAAACATATCAGCAAGGGCTGTGCCCCTTACGCAAATCGTGCCTCTCGCCCTGTTCCAGGGCTCCTTGGAGAGGAGATGGGCACTGCTGTCTCTCCAGCCCCTCTGCGCAGCCAGCAAGGAGACCCCTTTGCTGACCCTCCCACTGCCCATGTCACCACCAACCCAGAGCCCTGAGGGGACACTGAGCCTCTCACCCCCTCCTCCTGTCCCCTGCAATGTGGTCAGCACTACTAAGGCCACGTACAAAGGGGAGCAGCCTTTCTGTGACCAAGCAGGTCATGTTTTTGTTCCCATCCCCTCGTTATCAGGCCCTGAATGTCCTGCAAACAAATTTCTTCTTCCTGTCCCTGCCAGCTTCAAGGTCCCTGGCTGATGGTGGTGATGACTTTGGCACAGAGCCCCGCGCCCGCCGCAGCACAGCCCGGCGTCTCCCATCACAACACACCCTCGAGGAAGTGTATTTTTCAAAATACTTCTTTATTTCTCTCAATACTGACATTACAAAAAAAAAAAAAAGGAAAAAAAAGAAAAAAAAAAGAAAAAAAATTACAAAAAACCCACTATAAAACATTCAGGTCTCGTTGAAACCGAGTAAAACAAATCAGCTTGCATCTGTGCGCTGGCCTGTCTTCTCGCTCACGGCGTCCACCAGATTTCTCTACTGTCGAACTCCACAGGGACCAGTGGAGGGAGCCAGTGGCATTCCCTCGCCGGCCGAAGCGGGTGATTGATTAAATCAGCGCCTCACGGGTCTCCTCGCCCCGCAGGATGACACTGTACAGCTGTACACCACGGACACCCCCCGCACAACCCCCTGCCCCAAGGACACCCCGTTTCAAGTCAGTGAATTAGTTGTTTGTTTTGTAAAAAAAAAGCAAACCAAAACAAAAAAACGAATTCCCGGGGTGGGGGGAATTATTTTGGCAGGGGGGTTTTCTCAGCGGTGCTGCAGTGAAATAGGAGCTGTACAAAGCCAGGTCGAACGCGCCTCCCGCTCCATAGCAGCCCTTTCCTGGGGAAAAAAAACTGGCATGAGGCAGAGTGGGCCAAGAAAGGTAAGAAATATAAAAATTCTCCTGATGGAAATCCAAAGGTTTTAAAAAAATACAGTATTTGAAAATGGAGCCACCAAGCAGATTGCCTCATGCACCTCCCAGCTCCGCCCTGATGTCCAGAAACACCTCCTGAATGAATTGTCCCTGTAGAAAAATATATACACACGCCTCTCTCTTCTTATTAGAATCCCTAAGGTTGACCTGAAACACTAGTAAAACCCACAACTCTGCTCACACTTGGCTCTGCTTTTGCACCCAGATTAGTGCCACACGCACACACCCCCCCACTCCGGCGGGTTGCTGGTCGTGTGGCTGAATCATCCCCCTTGCAAAAAAGCCTGGGTGCATCAGGCCAGGATCCCCAAAACAGGCAGAGAAAAACCTTTACGAAGTTTATCTAATGAGCTCTATATATATGTATTTAAAAAATAAAAGCAGCAATGCAAACTCAACACATCTGAAAAAAGAAAGCTCCACCCTGGGCTTTCCCCCCTCCTCCTGCTGGCTGGGGCCCTGTGGGCAGCAGGTGCAGGTAGGTTGTGCCCACGAGCACCGGGGACATCCCCAGGCAGGGGCAGGAGGTTGGATGGACCATCCCCACATGCTCCGTTGTTTGGCACTGCCGAGGCTCGGTGTAGGCTTGGCACAGGAGAGTGGGCCACGGCCGGACTCGGTACCGTGGTCCCAGGTGAGAAATAGTCCGGCTACTGGGGGGGCCACCGCGGGCAGGAGTAATCGGCACCGCGGGACAGCCGGGACCCCAAACAGCAGCAAGTATCAAAGAGGGGAAGAGAAAAACCAGCAGCGGGGACGCCAGATCCTGCGGAGTCCTATTTACACTGCGCTGGACCCCGACAAGTCCAGCCTCTTGTGGAAAGAGTGGCTTGAAAAGCAGGTGACATAAAAAAACCCACAACGCGACGCACCTCCCCGGGCAAAGGGCCCACGGCTCTCGCTCGTGCGAGGCAGGAAAGTTGGACCTCTGGGGAGAAAGAAAAAGTCTGGCAGCCTGTGGCAGACAGGAGACTCCCCATTGTTGGAGTAGAAAACTGGCAAAGAAGAATGGATGGGGGGTGGGTCGGGTGGGTTTTTTGGGGAGGGAAAGTAGTGTGAGGGGTGGTTGTCTTTTTTTTTGCATTTAAAAGTGCTGTGGCACCTTGGCTCTGTGCAGGCCAGGTGCTGTGGCACATGCGTTTGGAGTATTGCTGCTTTGGAGGAGAGTCCCAGGGCTCTAAGAGCATGGGAGGTGCTGCTTGAGGATCTGTCTTGTCTGGGGAGCTATTCTGTCCGGGAAGCGGATTTTGAACTCCACAATCAAGTCTCCTCGCTGGCTGGGGGCCTTGGGGAAGGGCAGCCCCTCCCCACGCAGTCTCTTCACTGTCCCCGGCTTGATGATGTCGTTGCAGGGAAGTGGGATCACCCTCCCGTCGATGGTGGGAATGTTCACTGTGCAGCCGCACAAGGCCTGAGGGGAGAAGAGGGGACATGCCATCAGATGGGGCTGACACCCCAAAGCATCCCAACAGCCACACCCCACCCCCCCACTGGCTGCTCCCCGGGTTAAACCACCCAGGTCCCTTTGGATGATGCCCAAGAGCATGGGGTGATGCTCACCACTGCAAGCCCAGCTCTCTGCTGGTGCCAGCCCAGTCTGACCACCAGGAACTGGGCTGCAGAAGCCATGCAGGAGACGGGTGCCCCAGCCTCACTGGGGGAAGGACTTCCCTCCCCTCCTCCTGGGCTCCCCAGCAGGCACCACCAGCAAGCACCAAGCCACCCACAGCAACAGGACAGGCTAAATTTAGCACCTGTCCAGCCTCGGGCAGCCGAAAATCCAGCTGAGATCATGGGATGCCACCACGACTCATCAGCTGTCACCCTCTGGAGCACGGCAGCTCTGCCTGGCGCTGGGGTTATCTATAGCACAGCCTGTGCCCCATCCCCACCACCGACAGCCCCCACAAGGCTATGCTGACGCGGGATGATGGTGTGGCCGTGGCACAGTACCGAGCTTTCCTAGGAGCCAGGCTGCCGAAGGGGCTGGTTCCTAGGAAACCAGCCAATGGGTCACCCATCCCCATGGCAAAGCCAGGAGCCAGTGCTGGGGGTGCCACCTCGCTGTACCCCAGCCTCCGGAAGCAGCCGGAGCGGTGGGCGCCGCGGCAGGCACACGCCGGCCTGCATTGGCGAGCCACGTGATGCGGGAATGCAGCAAGAAAATCCTCGTGTCCTTAAATAACTCAGACAGCTCTGGCGTACATGTGGGCAGGATCATCTCCAGGCTTTCAGCAAAGGCTGATGGAGAGGACTGCGGAGCGATGCTTCTGGAAGTGGGGGGTGGTTTGCTGAGGTACAGCCCTGAGCTTCCATGTGGGGGCTGGCTAAGGTTTGCCGCCCTGAACTGGGTCCTGGGAGTCCCAGTCCTCCCAAAACGCCCTGAAAGGGGAGGGGAAGAAGAAGCAATTGCTGTTTCTGGGATAGGTGGGAGAATGTTCTGCATTCCCCTCCCCAGGAAGAGCCTCCAGTGGCAGAGCAGCAAGAGGCACCAGGAGAAACATCTCTTCTCGTGCCGGCCACTGGCTCAGGGATGATGGACATGGCTTCTGCAGCTGAACCAGGGCTTTGCACCAGGGGGTTCACAGAGGGGTCTGTGCCAGAGCCGGCTGGGGGTCTCTGGTGAGAGAATAGGAGAGAGGGTGCTGCTTCCTTGCACGGCTCATCTGCACAGGCCTCCTCCTGGGAAGGTTGTCCTCCAGGGATAAGCTTTTCTGCCTGCAGGAAGATGCCATCGCCAGCTGTGTGCAAGCAGCAGGTGCTTGGCTGATCTCCAGCAGGTTGTGGGAGGGAAAGAAAGGACAACCTCCTAGCATCAAGGAATTTCTGCCCTACACTCACCCAAGGATGCCAGAGCCCTCTTGCTCGCTGGTGCCCACTTGCTATGTGCCACGGAGGGCTGCACGGCTACACGTGCGCCAGTGAAAGGACATCTCCAGCCACAAAATGGAAAGAAGAACAAGAACTCCCTGTGGGAACACGTGGACGAGGAAAGCAGAGGGATGTGAGCAGGAGCGGGCGGTAACAGCGAAGGCAGACGGGATCTTAATGTTTCCTTCCCAAAGCCAAGACGCAAGAATCCGAGGCGATCGCTCCTCCACCGTATGTCCCTGTTTTTCATTCCTCTTGCTCAACTTCACTGGCATTTGGGAAACCGGTTGCTGAAGTAACACCAGTCACCGCGGGAGCTACCCCGCATCCTAGAAAGAGGTTTGGTTTATCCCTAGGGATGAAATCACCCTGGGTTTGATAGCTGAGCGCTGTGCTGTGCGAGCAGAGCTCTATCTAGGTCAGTGCCGGGTCCTCCTCCGCTCGCAGCGGAGCTGCCGGGGAGGACGTCGCCATCGGTCGCGTCTCAGCCGGGCGCTGACGCGTGGATGCTTCGAGGAAGGTGACGCCAGGTAAAGGATGCAAAGCGGGATGGTGCCGAGGGCAGGCGTTAGCCCGGCAGCCAGGCGGGCACGAGGCCCCGTCGGCAGCGCTGCCTCTTGCCAGAAGCAGCTGCTGGTGGAGCAACGCCTCTCCTTCCTCCCGTGGCTTCCTGCTGCGGCACACGCCTGTAATTTTAGGAAGGAAGTCGGCGAGTCCCTGGAGTAACCCTCATACACCTCTGATTTTGCAGCAGACAGGTGGCAAGCAACCTGCACTGCCCTGGCCAGGCATCCAGCAGGTCTGGAGGGGGCTGGGAGGGGCCTCCAGCACAGCAGTGAGTGGGGTCACAGGACCCACTGTCTGCCAGCTTTGCTGGCACTGTGCTCTCTCATGGCAGCAGCAGAGACTAAAGTTCAGGCTAAAAAAGGCAGCCTTGAAAGGAAGAAGGGTGAAAGGAGAGTCCTCAAGGCTATGGCCAGAGGCTCAGGCGATGAAGAGGTTGTACTCTATCACGTATTGACGTGGTAGCATACAGAGCTGGGGAGGTCTCAGCACCTGCTCGTGCTCCAGAGAACTTAAGGAATTCCTCTCATAGAAGATAAAAGCAGCAGAGTATAGCCCTGGCTAGGGATGGCAGCCAGGCCAGCAGCTCCATGAGGACACCCAGCATGTCGGGCTTGTGGTGAGGAAGGACGGAGACCAGAAATTCCAGCTCAAAGAAATGAGGAATTTTGCCTGGACCAGCAGTTTTCCACTTTGTGACTGCATTGTGCAAACCCAATGCCAGCACGCAGGCCTTGCTTACAGAGATCACAAGTGTTCAACACTTATGGTGCAACACAGCACGTGAGGCTGGAACAGGTTTCTCCAGTTGCTCCTCAAAGGTCAACTCTAGGTAAGAGTCCCTCCAGCCTGGCCAGTGCACAAACCTGGGCTAGCATGGTCTGGACATCAGCACAGCCAGCTCAGGGTTAATTTTATGGATAAGGGGAACAAACAGAAGGAAACATCTGAGATATGGCATGCATGGCTCCATAAATAAGGCATTCTCTCCCAAGTATTTCTGGATCAGCCACAGGAACCAGCCACTGCAGGAATAAACCTCTGCACTTCACACTGTGGGGGAAACTGAACTCCTGAGTCTTGCAGCTTAACTGGAGCTGAGTTTGCTCCAAGAGTGCCCAGTTTCTGCCTGACCCACGTGGCTCCTCTTTGCCCCCAGTACACGTTGTCACAGCCCCAGCTGGGATGCAGAGCCGCTGCAGAGCTCTCCCGACTCGCTGGCACACTTCACAAGCTCACGTTTCCCTACCTCGGGTCTGGCCCATTGAGCTTATTTCTATTAAATGCACTTCAGAACATAAATCTGCCTTCAGGAAGGAAAAAAAAATCAGCTCATTAAGAAGACAGACAGCGTCTACCGTCTGAAAGGAATAGCAAATGGCAGCTGCCAAAAACGTCAATGTTAAATGCAGCTGCCAGCTGGGATTTATTATATGGTAGTTATACAGCAGCAGCAGCAGCAGTGAACAGCACATCTTGTACTGAGGTAATCTCCCCTTTCCTCTCCCACCTTCACACAGATTGCTGGCTCTGATGCACCCAGCCTGGCCACGACCTCCAGGACTGGCAGCCTGGATATGTTGAGTTTTACTCACTGCCTGGATATTTCATTTATTTTGTTCCTTATTTAGGAAAGCCAGAACCAAGGGAAACAGCTAAAGCACTGCTCAGGGAGGGTGAGGGATCACCTTCCTCCACATGACCCTGCTCTCTGCCCACAGGGAGAGGCACCTGGTGCCATCCTGGGCAGTAACTAAGCCACAGTAGGCTCAGATACGAGAAGAGCAGGGATCAGACTCTTGCCAGCCAACGCGGGTTTTCCCTTGTTCCTACAGAGTATCTGGGCTCTGTTCCACATGTGAATACCCTACGCTAAAATAGAAAAACAAGGCATATGGAGAAGGGAGAAAATGGATAAATACCACCTGTACTGGCTCAAGGGACCACAGCATCCATGTCCTACACCCAGCATGGAGGCTGAGCATCTCCAAAACCAAGAGTGAGTTGGCATCTGCAGCTTCTTTCTCATGACCTACCTGGTCTTTCCTATTCAGAGTGGGAGAAGGACTGACTCCCATTGTGGCCCCAAATGCCATGACCCAGTGCCACCTCCCAGCCTGCAGGATTTACCACCTCTACCCACCTCTTTAAGACTGATGTTTGCCGTGTAGATCACATTTGTCCCATCCCTCTTGAAGTGTGAGTGAGGCTTGTCCTTGAGGATAAAGACGATGTCGGCAGGGATGTTATCTGGGGTGGCATCCCCTTCTTTGGGGAATGTGATTTTGGTTCCCTCCTTCCAACCCCGTTTGATGACAATGTTTAGGATCTTGTCCTCAGTCCGCATGGTCCGGCCATCGGCGTTGACTCTTCTGCGCGTGATCTTCATCCTCTTCGTGGATCCATGGTAGATCTCTTCCAGGGACACCTTGAGCTCGTGAATGACAGGAGGGTCTTGGACCTTCCTCCGTGTGTGCAGGGACTCTTGGTGCCGCCGGTGAACCCCATTGATGCCGTTGAAGCCAAACCTGCCGAAGGCACTGAAAGGGTCGTCGTCGTCATCCATATCCATGTCTTCCTGGTCAAAGCCATTGAACATCCGGGAGCGGCTGCTGGCGAAGAAGATGTCGAAAGGGTTGGAGCCTCCAAAGAAGGATGCAAAGGTGGCATGGGGGTCTCCATGGAAGGTATAGTGGAAAGTGCTCCCTGAGCCACCTGAAGAGCCACCTCCAGTTTTGAGACCTGGAAGAGAAGTGGGAAGACAAGACATGAAGGCTCATCTGCTGGGGGATGCTGTGCTGGCACTGCACTTTCCAGATGGGAGGATGGTCTCTGTGGCCTCCAGGCAGTTATTCCACTATCTCCTGGGTGTGCAGGTCACCCCCTCCAGCTTAGCCACCTGTGAAGACCATGGGCCAGGTAGGCACCACCTCTATCCATGACACATAGTCCTGCCCCTACACCCAGCAAGCTCAAATTCCATTCAGGTTTTGTCCCCTCTGTCCCTACTGAAGGGCTTCTTTGGCTTTCTCCACCCAATTCAGAGTATTTTAATTTAAAACATATCCTGATTAGGCCATGTCCATTTTTCCCCATAAGCACACTCCTGTCTGCCCCAATAGCCTTGCCTCTTGGTCTGGATATCAGGAAAAAATTGTTCACATAAAGACATTGGAAGAGGTTGCCCATGGAAGTAGTGGGAGTCCCTGGAAGTCTTCAGAAGGTGTGTGGACGTGGCACCTGGGGACATGGTTTAGTAGTGAACATGGCAGTGTGACATTAAGTGATCTTAGAGACCTTTTCCAACCTCCATGATCCTATGAGCAGGTGGAAATCAGCAACCTTCCAGGTCGGCATGCAGCTCCTGCATACCGACTGTATAAAACGCCAGGTAAGACACAGGTTTGGATCTTTTGGCAACCCTCCCCATGGGAAACTCTCCTGTTGGGTCCCAGGTTGAGACTTATGTCACTGCAACTCCCCCAGGTCGCAAGGCACATTCGAAGTGCCCCCCCAAAAGAGGTCACACACGCTCTGCAAGGCTATTTTTGACCAGGAGGGGTGGGAAGGGTTAAGCCAAGCCGAGCTCAGGGACTATTTTCAGGGCATGCCACTGACAGTGAAGGGCTATTTCTGACAGGCTGTCCCTCGTAACATGCCCCCACCTCCCTTCACAGCAGGACAAGTTTGGGGGTCTCTTCTGATTGATGAAGTTAATATTCTGGGTGGGTCAGAGGAGCTTTTGCTTCACCTTGCCCATCATAGCCTGTGGGACCCAGAAGCTCCTCAAAATACCAATCACCAACATGTTGCTCCAAAAAATGGGAAACAAAAGGTGTGTGGGGTCACAGACCAGGACTCGTCTAACGCTGATGGGGCAAGGGGGGAGATGGTCTTTAACTTGATGGGGCAACGAGGGTGGGCTCTTCCCTCCTTCCTTAACTCACTCTTATTTTAGATGCCTGCAGGCGATGGGGATTTCGCCAAATCCCCAGTGAGCCCCTGTCCCTAATGGACTGTGCAGCCAGGAGGTTTCACCTTTAATCCCATGACGCCAGCATGAGTGGGGTCCGATTTCATCAAGGCCTCCCGGGAAAAGCTGTTTTCCCACTTGAGACAGTCTCTTCTCATTTTACAGGGTGGCAAAATCACTGTGCCTGGTGCACCCATTATAGCCCCGACATAACTAAAGGGTAGACAATTAACCCATCGCTGGTTAATTCTGCTGGTGGCTTGTGAGGGGGATGCACCTGCCCGAAAGAGGGGCTGTCTCTTCCATCCAGCAGCCTGCTCCTGCCAAACCTCCTGCTCTTTTAAGCACCCAAGTCCTGGGCTGATTAATGCAGATGCTATTCAGCACTCTCCTCGAATGGGGTTGTACTCTTCCATCTTCGACTAATAAGGCTGCCTGCGTTGGAGCAGCTCTCCTCCTCCTCCTCCTCCTCCATGCCAACCACCAGACAACAGCAGCCTCTTGGTTTCAAAACAAGGGCCTATTACTTAAATTGGGAAAAGCTTTGAATCCAGTAGGTCAGCCTGTACCGCGGAGGACAGCGGGACCAGTGCCCAAACGCAGGGGGCATGTGGGCAAAAGCAAATACTTCTCTGGTGCTTTATTTAGGTCAGTTAAAGAGTAGCTAATGAGTTACCCCAGGTATGATGCAGGAGGTGAGCTCCTTCCACTTCCATCTCTCAGCCCGCACCCGGGGTTTTGGGGCAGAGGGCAGGAAAAGCCCAGCCACCCCAGGAAGCAAGGCAGCAGGCTGGAAAAGTGGAGCAGCCCGGGAAGGAGGGGGATGAGACGTGATTTCTGGCACCTGCGGAGCATTCAGTCTCCCCCATTCTGTGGCTACCAGTCCCACTTGAGGAGCAGACATGGAACAGTGGAACACCTGTGTGTGAAAACTCTCCCTCTCCTGCAAAACCAATTTGAACCCCACACTCCTGCCTCCCAGTGGGAAGTGCTCATTTCCTTACCTTCCTCCCCATATTGGTCGTAAACGGCTCGTTTCTTGGGGTCACTCAGGACATCATAAGCCTCTGCGATCTCCTTGAACTTCTCCTCAGCGTTGGGGTCTTTGTTCTTATCAGGGTGGTACTTCAGGGCCATTTTCCGATAGGCTTTCTTGATTTCATCCTCATTGGCGCCGCTCTGGATGCCCAAAATCTTGTAATAGTCCTTCCCCATGACAGCAACACTGCCGGGAGCTGAGTACTTATTCCTGAAAGCAGAAAGACAGCTCTTCGTAAGGTGAATATCGCCCTGGGGCAGCCAGGGACGGGGCTGGCACACACTGGCACGCACTTATCGCGGAGCCGACGCTCCCTGCGTCCCGCTGGCCAGCAGCACCAAAGCCGGCTCCAGTCCACGCTTCCCACTAGAGGTCAGAGCCCCGGTGCCAGAAGGTGTCCCAGCTCTGGTTCTACCCTTCTGAGCCCCACGGCAGGGATAGAGAGACTCATCTCTGAGGCTGACAGGGAGAGAGAGACTGAGTCGGGGCACGGCGCTATTATAGGGGCCACGCCACTGCCAACGTCAGGCCAGGACTGCGTCCCTGTCCATCCCCCCTGGCTGAGTCAGGAGGGCTGAGCTATGTCTAAATGTAGCTGCCGGCCTGTGTCCACCCCCTCGCCTGGTTCTCTCCCAGCTGGGGACCTGAGACCCAAGTCGGGGTGATGACAGCAGGTTTTTGGAGACTGAAAGCAGTGGCAGGGACCATGCTGCGCCTTCACCTTAGAGGAACTTCAAACATTTTGTTCCTGAAAGCAATTGGCATTCAGCTGGAGGAGATAAGCGCCTCCGGCTGTCAGAGCCGTAATTTGTATTTAGCGAAGAGAGAAAAGAGCCGTTAGACAGAAACATCTTGTGATGGTGGGAGGGCTTTTTTATTTTTTTGTTTTAAAAAAATCCAACACTTTCTAGCCTGACTTGCACTCCCCGAGAGCCTCCAACTGCCTCTTGCAGCAAGGCAGGAACCCAGGGCTCACTCGCTCCATCGTGCGGGGGCCGAGGCCGTGGCCATGCCTATGCCTATACTAAGGCATGGAAAACCCGGTGGCTGTAATTCATCCCCCAGTCACGCCACTGGAGTGGCAGCGACCCAGAGAGCAGCCACAGGAGATGGGAGGGCTGCTCCTCCAGGCAGAGGCTGAGCAAACCCCATACTCCTCCAAACACGCTTCCCACTGCTCCTCGACCTTTGGTTATCTGACAGCAAACTCCTGCCCTCCCACTCCCCAAACTACAGTTCAGTGCCTGCTGCTGGCCCTGCTCCACCCAGGCACTGTCCCAGCAGACTCCCTGCTCTCCTGCTGCTCACATCCTGCTACAGTCCAGGTTTCACCTTGCCCAAACACCCCTGAGCAGCCTCAGCCCACTGTGCCCCTCCAGCATGTGGATTTTGGCACAGGGTGTGAGCCTTCACCCTTTTCTTCACCACCATGCAAGCTACCAGATGTTCTTCCCCACTCTTACTCTATCCCTGAGATCCTGTTGGAGCTCTCAACCACAGCAGTTCAATCAAAGGTGGCTGTGCTCCCCCAGGATCCATCCACACAGTGTTACAGAGAGCCCTTAGCATCCACACCAAGCATCCAACACTTGACTTGGGCCACGCCTTGGACAATGACCACCTACAGGGGCTTGGAAACTGGCCCCACACTCGGTCACCTCCATCCAAACCATCAACCTCTGCTCTTTTTTGCCCCAGCCATGGAGCAGGTAGACGGTGAGGGGGGTTAAGGCTAAATTAGGGGAGATGGAGCCATCTGCAGACACGTGCAGCAGCTCAGGGGGCACAGAAGAGGTGGGAGGAGGTCCCTGGGGGCGTAAGGAGCATCCGACAGCGTCTCTCGTGGCAGCTCCTGCGCGCAGAGACGCCGGCAGCACCCAGCCCACGCAGGCGCTGGGGGATGCTCTGCCCCCTGCCAACCCCCAACTCCCCTCCCCGTGGGGCTGGGGGGCTGCGGGAGGCCCTGGGGTGAGCAACAGGCAGCAGCGCCGAGAGCTAACTTGTCACCGTCCTCCCCAAAAAGGTCACTCCAACGCCTCCCGTCCCCACAGCAGCCTCCAGTGGAGGACAGGGGCTCCCTGTGATCAGCACCAGGACCGGGATCAGGATTTGGCCCTGTCTGGCTGATGCTGACCCTCCCACAGCGAGGGCAAACCAAGCAGCACTGAAGGCAACCCCGTCACACCCTGGCTCCAGCAACAGAGGTGACAATCCTTCTATTGTCCCCCCACAAGCACCACAGTGTCCAGCTCTGACCCCGCGCAGCCCAACTCGGCAGCACCACTGGGAGCCCGTCACCCAGCCAAAACTCCACGGAAAATACGAAAATACATTAAAACAGGCTTCCCATGAAAATACATCCTGTTCTGGCAAACGCTGTTGCCCCCCGAAAGATCTCTGGTCTTGCCCAAGGGGTCTTTGGCAGGGGTGGGGATGCTTGCCGAGGATATTCTCCTGACCAGAGCCCTCTGTCCGGCTGGGCATAGGGAGGGGGAAATTCCTGTACCGAAATGCATCCCGGTGCCGCGGTTTACCGTGCTGGAGAGGACCAGGTGCTGCCGGGTGACCCGGTGGGTTAAGGCACGCTCCCAAGGCTCAGCTCACATGCACAATGGTGGTAAAACACGACTCTGTCCCCGCAGAGCCTCCCTCCTTCCCTCCCACCTCTCTGGGATCAGCTGCGCCTTGCCACCGCTCCTCTCCCCCTTCTGCTCAGTCATCCTCTCCTGCCTTCCCATTTAACCCCCTCGGGAGCGGTGGGGGGTTTCAGCCAGGAAAAGCCATTCCTGCATCTCCCTCCCAAAGCAGATGCCTTCGGATAAGCCACGGCCACCCTGCCTTAGAAAACCACAGGCATCCCCTGGCACTGCCGAGCCAGCCCAGCCTCCATCCTCCTCTCGCAACCACACCAAAAGAAAAAAATAATTAAATAAAGAATAAATCTTTGTTCCGGCCCCGCACATGACATCAGCCCGAGCAACCGCTGGGTGAGCGCGCCAGCTGAATAGCGATCGCTTGACATAATCCCTCCGCTCGGCAGTCATCTAAGGGAACAAACCCAGCCCGGCAGCGGCACTGGCCAGGGTTTTTTTGTTCCATCCCGGGGTGCAAGGTCACCGCGGGATGCCGGAGACAGGCGCTGATGGTTTAATGAGGACACAAGGTCGAGAGGCGGAAACCCACTTACCGAAACTTTACGAACACATTCATAGTCCAAGCTGTCATTTTTAAGGGCTCTAGTTTTATTTTAAACATCGCGGCTGTCCGCAGGCGCCGGCAGGTGCTGTGCGCCCGGCCGGGAGGCGCTGGAGGGTGGGAGGAGGGCGGCGGGGAGAAAGGTGCCGGCTCGTGCCGGGGATGCCGCCGCCGACAAGGGATGCTCTGGTGGCGAGCCTCCCCCTCCAGCTCCCCAGGCACACCCAAAGGGCAGCTCCTCGCCAGCCCGGCGGCCGCGGTTGGCTCTGACCTCACTCCCAGGGTGGCTCCGAAAGGGCTCTGGTCGACGCGGTGCTGCTGGGGAGCTGCCGTCCTTTGTGCGCTTCCCAGCCGCGCGCGGAGAGACCCTTCAATGGAGTCGCTCGCTGTGCTGTAATTTTCCCCTTAATTGGTTTCTCGACGCTTTCTCGCTAAACCGACGGATTAAGACACTTCTGCTTAATCCGTCAGCTCCTGCATCTTCCCTCCCTGCTGCCGCAAGGCGCCCGGCCGCCCCGGTACTGGCACGTCCCCCGCGCAGCCCCCGCCGAGGAGCAGGGAGAGCAGCCAGGAGCCCCTCGGTGTCCCCAGAAACGACTCTGCTGACGCCCAGGGCTGTGCACCCGCCAGGCGAATCGGGGAGGGAGAAAAGTAGGGCGGCGTTGATATGGAAAAAAGTCACGTTAACCAATGTGCACCTCCCCAGCTTTCCCCTTCGGATGTGCGGGGGTCCATGTATCCCCCTCACCGGGTGCCGGCAGCGGTCCCCCGGTAGAAGGGCTCTCTGAGTGCCACTCTCCCGCCCAGGACCGACCAGGAGCTCCCAGCGACGGCAGGGCAGTGGGATGGGGACGGTGCGTCCCCCGAGCCCACGGCGCAAAAACCTACTTCTGAGAAGTCACCTTCAGGCGCGCCAAGGAAAGCCAATGCCACCGCGTCCCCCCGTCCGTCACCGCCACTCGCGGGCCACGGAGAGCATCCTCTCCGGACGCTCCACAACGAAATTGGGCAGCTATGCCGGGACATCACCAGGCAGCTCCTGCATCCCACCCTCGGGAAGTGAAATGCCGGGAGGGCGACAGCCCCTATCCCGCTGCGCCGCCGGGGGCCGGGGGTCCCGTTGCGCTCCGAGTGCCGGGTGGGATCGGCGGGCTTCGGGTGCCGAGGGAGCGCATACCTCTCGGCGCGGCTCCAGAAGAGCAGGATGGCCGGCATGGCAGCGTATCCTGGGCTCAGTCAGGGAGCTGGAGGGATCTTGTCGTGCCGGGGCAGGCAGAGCCACCCGTGCCCGTGCTGGATGGCAGCCGCAGGCAACCAGGCAGCAATGTCATGACTACCCGCAATGAATCATCCCCTCCCCGAGCCCCCACACGCACCGCCCGCCTCCCCCTCCCCACCGACAGCCCCACTGGGGTGCCGGCACCTGCGTGGGGACGGGGTTAACCCTCCCCTCGCTGCCTCTGTCGGCACAGCCCCCACTGCCAGCCCCGTCGGCGGCTGCCTCCTGCGTGGGCACGGACCAGGACCCCCGCTCAGGGTCTCCTCACAGAGAGTCCCCCATTTCCATGCCCACGGGGTGCTGCCTCCTGCGTGGGGATGGGGTCAAGCCCCTCTTACCATCCTCCACAGACAGGGTCCCCGATTTCCAGACCTATCTAGTGCTGGCTCCCGGGCAGGGATGGAGTCAAGCTTCCCTCACCATCGTCTCCTCAAGCAGGATCCCCCCTTTCCAGCCCCACGGGGGTGCTCGCACTTGTGTGGGGATGGGGTCAAGCCCCCCTGTGCAGCCCCCCCATTTAGGGTACCCCCTTTCCAGACCCACCAGGGTGCTTACAGTGGTGTGGGGGTGGGGTTAAGCACCCTCATTGCACACACCACCGCTCCCTGTCCCCTGTCCAGCCCCACTGGGGAGCTAAGAACTTCACTGGGATGGTGTTAACCCCACTCCCAAGCCCACAAGCGCTGTCCTTTTTAGGGGTGGACCATTTAGTGCCTTGGTGAGGAGCTGTCACTTGCATGGGAAGGGGTTCACCCCTGCATTGACCCAGTGCACTGACCGACATGTGTCCAGGGGTGACCCCTTGCCACAATCCAGCTCCAGTGGGACTCGCTGTCTGCCCCAAGAGGAAAGCAAGTTAACCCTTCCTATCTCGCTGCCAGCTCTTCGGGGTGGACACTGCCACCTCGACTGGGGACAGGGGTTAACCCCTTCCATGCTGGTCCCTCCGACCCTGTTACTGACACCTGGGGAGGACGTTACCCACTTTCTCATCAGCCAGTTGAGTCCCACTGGGATACACTGGTACCCTC